CCGCTGGTGAGTGGCAGAGTTTCACAGGGACCCTGCAGCTCCCGGCCCGGCCGGCTCGCTGATTGGCCCGCGCGGGTTTAGTGACTCGCAGGTAAGGGGTAAGGGGGCCCGCAGCCCACATGGTTTGTTTACTCGCGGTGCCCGCGGCGCTGGAAGCGAATTGTGCTCCAGCCTCCCCCTCCTAGCCCGCAGCGCCTGCCTCTCAGCCACCATGCGTCCCGGGCTTGCATCCCTCTACCCCCTCAGGTCTATTTCCATCTCCCCACTCGGATCCCCCTTTCAGGGTGTCTTCTGCCCCCCACACACACATACACCCCGTCTGTCTTCACCCAGGTTTTTAAAATATATTTTTTTTTTAAAAAAGAAACAACTCAAACCCAAAGCGCAGCGAGACATACCGCAGGGCCAAGCGAGAGATCAAAGGACAGAGATAGCAATGGGGAGGCAACCGTTCGCTGGCTGGCGAGATCCAGCTGCTTAAAAATTGCACCTTGATTGGAAACCGTAAATCTTCCGCGCTATTAAAAAAAGAAAAGGTTTAAAAACGAATCTCCATTAAGGCAGCATAATTCAGAGCTGCTCTGCAAACGTTTACACTGGTCTCTTTTCCTTGGGGGGGGAGGCGGGGGAAGGGGGTGGAATCAACTGAACAGCCTCGAGTTCAAAGCGATTTTATTTAGGAGTAAATTTGGTGGGCCCTGCTTATGGTTAGCTACCACACACCGTTTCTTTTTCCCCACAAGAAGATGAAAGAAATAAAAAAAAAGCATAAGAGATTATTTCAAATCTTGGGCTGAACAAGATAAAGGGCATAAACCCCTCATGTTCTTAAGCTTAAATGCCGAGGGGTTTAGCTCCACAAACAGTGTAAGTGACTCACTTTTTATCGCTATATAAATTGGTTTAGAAACGTGGAGCAAAGTCTCAATCAATGGTGCCCCTTTTTTGTTTATTTGATTGTGTTTATTTATTGATGGGTTTTATTTATTATTTTGCCGTTGCAAAGTTCTGCCTTGAAATAATTATCAGCTGCAGACAGCCCCATAAATCCGCTCATTTTCTGTTCTGGAAAGCATTTGCAAAGAACGATGGGGAGCAAGAGTGGAAATAAAAGGCAGAAAGAAAGATGGCTGTAATTGTAATATCCTGAGATTTGCTGAGCCCCAAAGTCTGTCTATTGAGCCGGTCTCACAGGACTGCCGCCGTCTCTCTGCAGGAAACATAAAATCTGATCAAGTTCAGAGACGCATTGAGAGACTGCTTCAAGCAGCGCTTTATAACTGCAGCCCTTTCACATCCTTCCCCCCAATCAGCCCCAGGAAAGACTCCACATTCTTTATTTTAGGGTTTGAAAAAAAAGCCACCGATATAAAATCTCCCTCAGTAGTAACACCATCTCCCATCAAACCAATCAAAATTCACACTCCACAGCCATCAAGAACATTCCCAAAGTTGGAAGGTGAGTCCTTTCTGTCTTAGATTATTGCATCTCGAGAGAAAAAAACCAAACAAACAACAAACCCCTCTTGCAATAGAAAAAAAATAGCAGATTTAATGCAGATTTGGAGGGAGGAGAGAGACGGGATCCTGGCTCGGAGGGAACCGCTTGCTTCGGGTTTTGTTTCACACACACAAACACACGTCAACGGGGACTGAATTTGCCTGCACGGGGCACATTCAAAGCTGAGAATCAATGTTAGGAAATAAAACGAACGAGGGGGGATTTGAAAGCTCGGAGAACTACGCAGTTGTTGTTCTTTGTTAGGTGGGATGTGGATAGATGAGGATATGCTGGAGGACTCTGGTGGGTTGGGGGGTCGTGGGAGGAAGTGTGGTAAACCCAGGCCCAGTGCAGGAACCTGCTCCGGTCTTTTCTGGTGGTTCAGACCCAGGCCCCTGGACTCCGATTCATGGCGGAGTGTCTCTCAACCGGCTCAGCAAAGAATATCTAACTTCCCCATTTCGGTGTTTTATGGCACACTGCAAACCGAAGGGATCTTTACGAGTGATGTACCTGGTCTCTTGGACAAGTCAGGGCCCAGATCGGATAATTAATTACCTCCAGCACGTGTTGTGTTGTCTCTGCAACAAAACAAGCATAATTCAATTAGATCATCCGGCGAGTATTGGGTAGAGAAATGCCTGTGAAGTTCCCGACCTGGGGCAAGGAGGGCGAATGGCCTTTTGCTTTTGCAGAAGGCCTCACGTGTGGGTCTCCTCATTGTCTTTAGCCTGAATATGATGTAAAACAACTTCCAGGCGCGCTGCTACTCAGAACGAAAACCCAAGGAGATCTCTGTCCTCGGAGGGGATTTGTGGGTTGGATGGGTGGGTTGGTTCTTTTTTGACCCAGGTGCTCTGAAAGGTTGGATGGGTACATTTATGCAGATGTCAGTTTATGAAATAACTCTGCAAAAGAAAGTGAAGTTCAGAGTCTAGTCCCTTTTGCCAGACAGCTCAATTTATTATTATTATTATTATTATTATTATTATTATTTTACAGAGGGCAT